CATTGGCTATTTCACCTATCTTTTTTTCAATTACAAGTGATTTATTCTCTCTGATATATTGTTTACAGTAATTGTTAAGTTGTGTTGCTCGAAGTAATTTCGCCCATTCATTAATTTCAACTGCATTATCAATATTAACATAAGAATCTTGTATTATTTTTACTTCAACCTGGCCTTTGAGTGGATCAATTCGATATTTATCTGAGGCTCTAAGCAAGTCAACTAGAAACACGCCAGAACATTTAGAATCTTTAAAAACTGCTGAAATTGCTTCTTCAAGTTCTTGACCATATAACCAACGAATCAGAACACGGAATGCTGAAGGATCGATATCGTCGATATCAACAGTTACTTTTTGATGTTCTGCAGCTTCCATCATCTTTCCATTGAATAATGTTTCAAAATATTCAGAAGCGGCTATAAATTTATAAGCTTAATTAATAACAATTACTGTATAACGAATATTATAAGTATAAAAAAATAGGCAGATACCTGAAAGAACATATCGATTAGCTTTTATTTTCTCAATCCCATTTTCATGCTGAATTTGAAACTCGACATCATGATGCATTGTTCCATCCTGTTTTTCAAACCTATCTAAAAGTCTACTAAACAACTTATTTCCTTGCGAATAATTTTGTGTTGTTACATTGAATTTAATATTTTTAATTTCTTGAGCTCCAGCTACTTTTAATAATATTTTAAATCCTTGTAAGTTATCATGAACCTTATGTAATCCAGTTCTAACGTCTTCTTGGGTACCGAATACAAGATTTTGCCCTGCTACCCAATCTTCAGGGATAAAAGGGTCATTACCATTCAAAAATATTCTTGCATTTGTTCGTAAACGTGATATTATTCTGTCATCAAGAATTTGAACATTAACATTATCATAAATTTGAATCTTAATCCAATCTTCTAATGTCTTGTATGTCTTATTTAAAATATCCAAAATTAATTGAACTCCTTCTGGTGATTTCCATGAATCTTTTTCCGCTTGAGATATGTCTAGCGCAACATAATATAAATTGTCGAGAATCTTATCCAATGTAGGACGACATAAATTGGGAAATCTGCTTTTAAATGCATTTGGGGGATCTACCGACTTTGAAAATAATGGACACTGTGTCCAACAAAGAAGTTTATATTCTTGATAATACATAGAATTTATCGATTCAAATTCTGTTGTTCTAACTGCAGTTTCTTTCAATGGACTTTCCAGATCTGTGTCTACTGGCACAAATTTGATAGATATCAACTCTGACCATTGCTCATTTCTGAAGTTCAAGGTTGCGAAATGTTCATATAAATATTCCATCAAAAATTTTGCATCTGATTTTACTAAATTAATTTGTTCATTTAATTGTTGCGATTGGAACATTTTAATTTTTGAATCAATTTCATGTACACATTCCAGAAATGTTAGAGAATTGACATAATGTTTTAATCCCATCCTTTTTAGAACACTTAAACATTTAGCATTTACTTGTAAAGCAGGATGTAAAAGTTTATTAGTATTCCAAAAAATTCTACGAAAAAGATGTTCATTTATATCATATAAAGTATTTCCTCTGACAAGTTCTGTGAGATGATAATTTGGAATTAGTTTAAGCGGCATTAAATAATTTTCAATTTCTCTTTTTTCTAAAGAAAGAACCGTCTTTAAAAAATCAATATATTGTTGATCCAATGTTATGTTTTGTGGTTTCAGATGCTCTTTAATATATTCTAACGGTGTTATGTATTTAGCACCTAGCCTAAATAGCACGTTAAAGTCTGATTCAGATTCTATGAGAAAAATATTTGTTTCTTCTCTAATAGAGAAAAAAGGAATATCTTGTGGAGGTATGATTCCCTCTTGAGCGGATATACAAGTACTACGTGACTGAGTAGGCCATATTGGTAGGGTTTTTAAAAATTTAATTGATTTATCATCTACATGTTTAAATAAATATAATTAATAATTAAATAAATATAGAATTCAATAAAGTCCATACAATATGAGAGATAAATTTTAATGCTTACGTTGAATATTAATAAATTCACTTTTAATAAATGATCTAAACTTTTCAAACTCATTTTGATCAAGTTTTTCAGAAAATAGTCGTTTCAAAGATACTGGTGGTATGCCAATAGCTCTCTCAAGAGATTTAATCATATTCACTGCGGTTGGTTGCTCGATGCATTCTTTAATATATGGATTACTGTGATTTGGCAATTTCATTGATGTAAATCTAACACCAAACTTTGCAAGTATTGGCACCATTTGGTGATATGAATTATATATCAACAAAGGATGTGACAAGCTTGGTAAAACGAGTTTGTAATGAGGTCTGCATGTTGAGAATATTGGAAATCTTGCCAATCTATTAAATTCATATGTTGACATTACATTTTGCTCTGGGAATAACAGTTTCAATATTTCATAAATCCAATCGATATTTGGATACTGAACTCCATTAGGATCCCATTCGATTTCTTTATCACGTGGTAGAACATATTCTAATAAATCAATAATGGAATTTAAATCTGACGCTAAATCTTTAATTTGAAGCTTATTACGAAAATTCTCATCTTTAAAAATCCGTTGAAAATCAAAAGGTGGATCAGCAACAAATTGTGACTGTGCTTTAGGAAATAACTTCCGTATCTCCAGTCCCGCAATGTAATATGTTTGTGAACAAAAGGTCCCTAAAGATTTATCACAAAGTGGTAATAATCGTAAGCCAACAAGTTGTTTATAATCTTTGGCTTGAATAATAAAGTTTAACAACCGAAACGCTATTTCATGCAACTTTTCTCCTGTAATGTTCAGAATATTTGGATTGTATCGAAGCCAATGACAAACCAATTTTGGAGTAATCAAATTTAGAGATGAGAATTCCATTTTTTTAAACATTTGATTAAGATGACTCATTTGATCCTGAGATAATTTGACGATCTCTTTTCCGTGAGTGATAAAAATATCTGCAATAGTTGAATCATTTGAATTCACAAAATATGCCTTATCTAATGAGGTCAGTGCGCCTCCATTCGCTTCAGTCCAAAAAACTTTATATCTTTTAATATATAATCCTCGGAGTACATTTAAACCATATTCTCTGTATATATCTGTAGTTGAAAACGTTATTGGCCATAATTGTGAAAACATTTCATCATTAAATGGTGACATCAAATGGTTAGCTATGTGATTCAAAAGTTTGGAATGTAGTGGAGGTAATACATCTAACAAAATATATCTATTCCACTCTCCTTCTTTTGTTTCAGCCGTTAAGAGATCAGTATTATCTTGTAAAACATTCTTTCGGTCACTGGACAGACAAAATGTTCCATTGATATGAACTCCAAGAGATGTAAGCATAGGAAGTGAAAGATACGAATAAACTTTTCCATTAAGCAATGGAATATTGGAAGACTAATGTGGAATATTAAATGTTAATCAAGCCATTATATGAATAAGTCTGATGTGATCTAGTAATATTACCCTTTCAGCTTTAAGTTCTTCTAATGATTTTTCGTCTCCTATAGACAATAACATGGCAACACCACCTCTTGCCTCAAAATAACAACCAATTGATTAGTTATCTAGTTAATTTAGAATTATCAGTATTGCAATATTTAAATAATAACTTACTGAAAGGTTAATCTCTTTAGAAATCTCTCTAAATCTGGATTTGTCTACCAAATTACTACCACCTGAACAGATTAGCCAAATTTCTGAATATTTACAATTTTCATAAAATCTACTTTGCTTATAATATATTTCCATTTCGAGTTGATATAGTCTTGCCTCCCATGAATGAGAAATACGAAGTCCACGAATTTCATCATTCATATTCTGAATTTTGGTCTCCCAAATTAACTCCATATTACCTATTATATTCATTTGAAATAAACTACATTGTTCGATATTTCTTAAAAATAACATCTCACGATGTCCTTGTATAGTTTCAAAAAGTTTGCTTCTGAGATCTTTTGGTTTTATTACTTGATTAGATAATTCACTTGTCGATGTTCGTAGAGGTAATCTAAATAAGGTTCCCTTAAATTTCTCTTTAAGTTCACAATCAAAAACTCCAAGATATGGAAATACTTGGTCCTCAAATCGTTTTCTGAAATTTTTTTCAATGAAATTAATTTTTATTCCACGAGGACTGAGAGGCGGATTTCCAGCTTTTGGCAAAAATTTTTCTAACGGATCAAAAAAAACTATATGTTCCCCACTAACCTATAATTATGAATAAATTAAAATTAGTTTTATTAAAAGATTTAGAAGTTTCAACATTTAATATTGTAAAAGTTCTTACAAAACTTGGGAAATCGGTCAAATGATATGCACAATTGAAACCAATTCCAAATCTTCCTATTTTTGTTCTATTATCCCTCTTTCCTCCCATGCCAAGTTTTTTTAAGGATTCAAAATCATGTTGAGTAAATTCAGAATCATTATATATCCATAAAGCCGGTCCTTGCCATTGATCCATTTCATCAGATAACAATGAATTTTGTTTGTCAGAATTTTTGTTGAGAAAATTAAAAGACCATTTGTTAACTTTCCTATAGTCTCTATTATCAATAATAAAACAAATTTTTCTTGCTCCCGCATCATCAGCATTCTATAAATATAAAAAAGTTAAGCTATAGATGTAGACATAATAACTAAAAAAAAAAACCCTTATTTCTTCATACCTGTAGAAATTCAGGAAATATTGATCCAAGCGAATAATCCTAAAAATTATTAATGGTAATATTGTTAATAAACCATTACCATCATAATTAAACAATCGAACTGAATAATTTACAAGTATTTACACTAATGATATTACGTATTCTAACAGATAACTGCTCATTTTGTTCATAGACTTCACCAAAATCATTATTTGTCCCGGCTAAATAAAAGAAATCACAATTAAATTATCAACAAATTCAACATAATAAATGTAAGAAAACATTATACTCACAATCAATAAATTTTCCAGCAAGCATTTTAATCCCAAGAGTTTTTGCAACAGAATAAGATATTAATGAATGAACTATTTTTAATTCATTTTTCTCATCATCATCTAGCCTTGTTTTCATATCATCATAATAAATATCATGTAAATTCACTAATTGACAATCTGTACTTGGTACAAGCAAATCTTTTAAATTTTCACAAAAGTCACTTTGTTCATTAATCCTTTGTTCGTTAATTCTATTTACAATTAGTTCAATAACCGATACCACCTTGTGCACTTCTTCATTAGATAATATCTTTGTAGTGTTAGAGTCAGTAGAAGGAAATTCTTTTATGATGCTTATTAAATCAGGAATATCTATTTTTTGTCTTACACCCATCTCTTTAAATAATTCCTTGCATGATCTAAATGCATAGGGAAGTTCGACAATTAATGATGCTTTACTATCCAAATTTTTATCAAGTGTCATCACGACCCTATGCGATGAATAAAATTTGCCATTGCAAAATATCCATTTTTTATCTTTAAGTTTTTCTTTAAATTTTACCAAGTTGGAATTATTATACATCTCATCGTTCATATATTTATATACTTCTTCACATATTTTGAAAGTATTCTCATTTATCGTTTTCATGGATAAACAGGCATTAAGTTGCGCTATAATAGCATCAACAGGTGGACGAGACTCCCATTTCAAATTTTTAATAAAAGACCTGTTCTCAAAAGTATGATCTATAATTGGCATTACTAGCCCAACCAAATTTTTATGCATTATACTTCTGCAATCAATTGGTTTTGAAATTTTTTTCTTGCCAGTGGAATCAACCGTTGGAATCCATTCTTTGGTCTGCAATACTAATATAAGTTCATTATTAATTGTAGGCACGTTACGTGCTTGTAATCGTTGATTAGTTCCCAAAAGTTTATCATAATTTCTATCAATATATTTAACTAACTTTAAGGATTTTTGATGTACAATATTAATTTCATTATCCTTTCGTTTTGCAAATATATTGATTCGTTGAATAATATCAGTGGAAGAAAGATATGGTTTCATCCCCAACGTTTTTAATGAAATCAAAAAGTTGTCACGAAACTTTTTAGAGAAATTTTTAGCAGGAAATAAATACTCATCATCAAAAAATAATTCTGAAGCGGAATGATTATCAGGATCAAATAAATCGGTAGGTTTCTTTAATTTAACATCAGCCTTTTTAATTTCTTTTTTATGTATATTAAGAATCGTAGTTGCTGGTATAAACTCTATATTTCCTAAATCAGATTTTAAATTTAGATTCTCTGAAAGGAGTTGCAATCTTTCAAAAAGTCTTATTATAACGATTTCAATGGTTTCTAGTGTTTGACTTCCCAGATATGGAATCACAAATTTAGTCCAATACTCTTGTTGTGATAATCGTTTAACTTTTATAATATTTTCTAAAAGAAATCTTTTGTTATGTGTTGTTACATCAATAAATCCTTCTGTATTTGGCGCAATTATTTGTCCATAACTTTTCTCGTCTTCACATGGAAGCAAATACCAATTTCTATTACTGGGTTCAAGTGCAATAAGCGTTTCTTTACCAATTTCAGAAAAAATTGGAAGATATTTGACAACATTGTTGATAGGTTTATCAGGAGATAAACAACGCAAATAATTAGCTATTATTTCTGCTTCTTGAGGTTGCAATTTTATCTGAACATTTTTTGGAAATGTAGTAATTACACTTAAGCAAGTCAATACCTCCGTTAAATTTTCAAGACCAGCTACGTACTTTGACATTCTAAAAAGAATTAATAAAGTTAATAAATATTAAAAATAAAAAAAATTAGATTTTATACAAAACAATAATTATTACAAACAGTACTTTGATCGGTCATAAGTAACAAGTTTCTCAAATTGTTTATCAACAAAAACGATACCAAACCTCTCAATAAGAGGTTGAACATCATTGTCAAGTTTATTATTAACACTGTTCCAAAAACATTTCTGATTAGTTTTTAATTTTCTAAGATTACCACTATTAGTAGGTAGTAAATGAATATCTTCAAATTCTGTCAGATCATAATCCCTTTCTTTAAGATTCGCCCAGATCTTATAAATCCAATCACACGAATCACCTAATGGAATCTCATCACATCCAACTGAATATCCGTTCAACTCTTTTGTGATCATGTTTGCTACTACGGATGGATCAAGGATTTTAATATTGAGTTCCCATCCTTCTTGGGCACCTTTGTATAATAGATTCCATAACTTTGAAGGAATGTTTTTTATCAATAAATTTGTTTAAACTATTTGCAAAGATCTTTCTCTCATCATTATTGCCAATCGAATTATTATTGTCAGG